ATATCTCGCTCTTGTCTCTCCTGCTGCCATCCTTATCTTTGCTCACATTCGTTACTGACCTTTAGCTTGTTCCTCGAATACGCTTCAGCTTAATCCTAACCTGTAACAATTCATTACTAACCTCTGGCTTGATCCCTACCTGCCTATCTGCTACTGGACCCCTGCTTGCTCACCTCCTTGTGGGGCAATCCTGAGGACCATGACCTGGTACTAACATGCAGCTAAACTCACCTCCATCATCAGGAGCTCTGATGGGTACCGGTTAGCAGTTAGACCCCACATCTCAGGTGAACCAGTTTCATCCAACACGGTGACCTGCTTGTATACCTGTCCCACTTGTCAGTGGGTGCAGCTCCACTGCTATAGCTACTGGTCTCTGAGACTGACTACAGACCGTGACACCTGTTGAGCCTTTCTAACTGAGTAGGAATATGGTATATAGTGAATGATGGTCAGGTGGTTCAACCAGAATCAATTTTACTGGACAGATTTGATCTGTCTATGTGAACTTATTCCATCTGAACTTGTTAATTTTCGAACCCTGATTTTCATTAACAAGAAGCACACACTTTAGGATATTATGTCTTGCACTAACAAGGGAATATGTTACTTCCCTACCAGGGCAAATGTGTTTCAAGTGGATAACTTACTATTTCTTGCAACTCCTGTCAGCAAACATAATTGAAATCTCCATCAGGTTCCACCTTTTGATGACCTGAGATACCATTTTACTAGTTTTCATTTGCTTGCTGAGATTCAGTTATTCTTGGTACAATTGTTATTGCAATAGAAGGTAAACATTACACAATTAACAAAAGGAATATTTGGTTTCCATTAAAGGAAAAAAGGATAACGGAAGCAATATTAGAGCATCAATGTTACTTTAACAGCACTATAAACCAACTGCCCTGACCAACAGGGCCAGGGCTAGTCCCAGATTAAGGGCCCAAGGGACCCAAGTCATAGATTCAGTTATTTGTGAAGATTCATATAATAGAAAGTATAGATCACAATTATGAATATTAGCTAAAAAAAAGCTGTACTATTCTAAGACTGCAAAAAAAGATTCTTTCATCTTGAAGAAAGAAAGAAACTGTAAAACTTAGTATAACTATATTTTTTATAAAATAAGTAAAAGTATTTAAAACTAAAATTTTTTAAACTATAATGAAAAATAGTTTTTTTTCTTATACTTAACTATTGTACCATAAGATGCAGGTCTCTATAATAAATGTCTGTATTTTTGTAGAATTCTGTATCTATATCTCTTTTTCTATTTTTCTATTTTTTTCCCTTACCTTTGCAGTCCCAATTCTACTTATCTCTCTGATTATTTAATACTTATAGCCCTGGAATACAATAGGCTTTCAGTTTGTCCAAAGAATAGTCTTTTGCAATATATTGGATTAATATTAAGCTTTGCAAACTTCAATAAGTTGGAAATACTAACATGTTGACATTACACAAACTGCATGCATTGTATAAAATTAATATTAATATTATAATATGTCAATTATGAAATGACAAACTAAATGGCACCTGGTTAATTAAAGGGTAGCTCCACTTTAGTAGGAAAAAATAGCAAATAAAAAAAAAAAGAGAGAGAACATAAATAATTGCTACACCATATTGTAATTTAATGTTATTAACAATTATCCTTTTTTAACCTTTTTAGTCTGCAGTGTTTTTATTTTTCTGTAAAATTCAATGCAATATGGCAATCTGGAGGTCTTTTGCACATGGTTGGTGTACAGAACTTTTCCAGAAATGTCATTTCCCCTTGTGTAATTGGATCACTGATTTTCTCGGAAGCGCTAAGATACAAGTAAGGTTTTAGCCATCAAAAATGTCACTTTTGGTGAGATACTTCCAATGGATTGATTACTTCTAAAGAGAAGCAGACACTGTAATTTTCCTCATTAGAAAATTGCAAGTGCATCAGCTGACTGATAATGAAAAAGTCACTCCCATTAAGAGTCGAACGGCACACAACTAACAGCTAGTTTTTCAGAGCAGAAACAGGTAGGAATTTGCAGCAAAGTTTGTTGAAACCCTTGAAATGTATATTGATCACCCAGAGGGAATTGTTTTTTTCCCAAATGAATTAGATTTACTAATTGGGAAAGAATTAGTCAAATTTCACTGTAGTCAAAAAACTCCATTGGAGAGATTCCCTCACTTCCTGTGTCATAAAAATAGGTTGACCCCCACCTTCCTATATAGATTCATTTCAGGACTTTCAGATAAATATTGGAAATTTGAGGTTAAGAAAGAAAACCCTATTTCACATCGTGCAGACATGTCCAAAAGATCTATTTTATTGGCAATGAATACATAGATGGTCTATATTGATCACAGGAGAGCCCCTTTATTTACCAGGAATACCCAGGAAATTTCTTCCAACACATTACTTCTGACTCAATTCAAAAACGGAAACATTTTCTGGTGCTCCACCTACTCAATCTGCCCAATCGACCTACTCAATCAGCCCAATCTTTGATCCCTTTACAATGGAGATCCACAACTCCATCCTCCATTGCAGAGTAGAAAAACAAGGTAGACAGCATAAGTCTTATTTAATCAGTATAGAATTGTTTTAGCCCACTAGTCCAGTAAATAACATCATCATTTCTCCCCATCTTTAATAGAAAACGAGTTCATCCTTTCACTACAGCTCCTCTTTCTACCACATTTGGTAGAACACTTCATCTTATAGGTATAATAAAAAAATTAATGATTTCATTAGGTCTCCCATTTCTTCCCATTGTTGCCCCCATTCTAGTCTCTCTTTTGCAAAAAAAATTGTTCCACTAATCTTAGATCTCCCATCATACATCCTTTTCTGTCCCTTTTTCCCTTGATGTAGGTTCTATATTCCAACTCCTATCACCAATATAAAAATATATTTTTTCTTCCCTTTTCTGTGTTTACCCCCCTTTCCTAAAGCTATTCTTACTTGCACCTTCCTTGTTTACTCCTTTTTTCTATCTTATGAAAGCAGGACTAAACCCGATCAATTTAAATGCTTCGCAAAACAGTTACAATGAAGGCATGCTGTGAATGAAAACTGAACTGTCAAGCCATCAAGTGGCTGGTGTGATAACTGATCACATGTACAGCACCAAAGCAATTACAGATTAAACAGAGGCTAAGATGAAGGCTTCCTTGGCTGTAAAGGATAGGAGGGTTTAGTTCCACTTTAATTTCTTTCCTTAATGTGCATCCTTGCATTCTTCCTCAATTTGTAACTCTTTATGATTCCCTCTTATCAAAAGACTTGATTTGAAACACCAACTATTGAAGCTACCACACCTAATTAATTTTGCTCTTTATTAATCATCAAAATAGATCCGACTAATGCGTCTATTTCTAATTTTTCTAATTTATGATCTTAAAATGGAAGAATACTATACAATAAACAGATACAATATAGTCTCAGTAGAACACATAGAATGCTTGCAAATCTTTACCTATGTATTACTTTGTACTCATGAATATTCAAAACATTGGAGTTTACTTACTAAATCTAGCGTGTGCACAATCTGGTGCAGCTCTGCATAGAATACAATCAGCTCCCAGGTTTTATTGTCAAAGCCTAATTGAACAAGCTGAAATTAGAAGCTGATTTGCTACCATGCACAGCTGTACCAGATTTTGCACTCTCCAGTTTTAGTAAATCAACACCACTGCATTTAACTTTTTATATGCCAGCTTGATAAGCTTTCTCTGACTCTCTTGTTTAATTTGCTGTTTTGAATATTAAAGTTATAAAAAAAGGTTGTCCTGGGACAAGAAGTGAGGGGAAATCTATGTAACAGCAACACAGTCGAAAGTAAAACTGTATTTGTTTTTAAGTTTTAAAGTGCTAAATCCATTGTCATTTGTTTGTTTCCCTTTTGAAGACCTTATATCGCTTCCTGTGTGGTAAAAGGTTGGTTCAAGAACGGAATGTGAGGGAAAATTTCTCAAGCAGGGTCCTGGATTACAGTAAACCTAGGGTTCAAACATTTCCCCATTCTACCCCCCCCCCCCCCCCGAAAAAAAAAAGGGTAAAGATACACTTAATGTCATTTAGTCAGCTAAATGTTACCCAGTTAAGATTCACATCTACTTAAAGTATGTGTTTAAAAATCTCCTCTCTGCCCATAGATTGGTATCCTAATTTGACAAACAAGCTTTGCAGATAGAAAAAAAGGCTTCTTCAATTAACTAATAAAATTAGTTTTCATGGGAAATAGTTCTTGTAAATATATTTTGCAAGGATTGTATTTGGCAAATATTTATTTTGACTGTTTTTTGGTTGTCTTTTTCCCTGTATAAAGAGATCAGTTTAAAAAGCTTTCCAGCACAAAATATTTTGTCTTTCCTTTTAGTTATATTGAGTTGTATCTCAGAAGGGAAAAACTATCAATGTTAAGCATTTTTATGCTAATATAAAATGTGTTACTATGTCTATTAAACTAATTGCTATATATTTTACTTTTCTAAGTTATAGTTATGTAAAGTGAATATATGCCCTTGGATTGGTATCCTAATTTGACAAACAAACTTTGCAGGTAGCAAAAAGGCTTCTTCAGTTAGCTAGTAAAATTAGTTTTCATGGGAAATAATTCTTATAAAATATATTTTGCAAGGATTGTATTTGGCAAATATTTCTTTTGGCTGTTTTTTGGTTGTCATTTTCCTTGTATAAAGAGATCAGTTTAAAAAGCTTTCCAGCATAAAATATTTTGTCTTTTCTTTTAGTTATATTGAATTTTATCTCAGAAGGGAAAAACTATCTATGTTAAGCATTTTTATGCTAACATAAAATTCTTTACTATGTCTATCAAAATAATTGCTATACATTTTATTTTTCTAAGTTATAGTTATGTAAAGTGAATATATGCACTGTTCATGTGCAAAGCTAAGACAAAACATATTAATGCAAGAATAGAAAAAAGGGATTACCGTATTTTTTGCTCCATAAGACGCACCTGACCATAAGACGCGCCTAGGTTTTAAAGGAGAAAAACTAGAAAAAAAATTCTGAACCAATGGACTGCAGACACAGTACAGGAAGTGACCAGACACTGCGGACACAGTACAGGAGATGACCTGAGACTGCGGACATAGTACAGGAGATGACCAGAGACTGTGGACACAGTATAGGAGATGGACCAGAGACTGCAGACATAGTACAGGAGATGACCAGAGACTGCGGACATAGTACAGATGACCAGAGACTGCGGACATAGTACAGGAGATGACCAGAGACTGCGGACACAGTACAGGAGATGACCAGAGACTGCGGACACAGTACAGGAGATGGACCAGAGACTGCAGACATAGTACAGGAGATGACCAGAGACTGCAGACACAGTACAGGAGATGGACCAGAGACTGCGGCCACAGTACAGGAGATGGACCAGAGACTGCAGACATAGTACAGGAGATGGACCAGAGACTGTGGACACAGTACAGGAGATGACCTGAGACTGCGGACAGTACAGGGGATGACCAGAGACTGCGGACAGTATAGGGGATGACCAGAGACTGCGGACAGTACAGGAGATGAACAGAGACTGCAGACAGTACAGGAGATGACCAGAGACTGCGGACAGTACAGATGACCAGAGACTGCAGACAGTACAGGAGATGACCAGAGACTGCAGACAGTACAGGGCATGACCAGACACTGCATACCTTTAGGGAGGGAGGGGGAGTGGGTACCTGAATTTGACAGGTACCCGCTTCCACTTCCACGGAGTTCTCCTTCCTATACTGTGGGCACCCGACTTTGCCAGCCGGGTTCCCACTGCGCATGCGCGAGAAGCGCTGCGCTTTGTGAATGGCCCGGCGTCTTTTGGGACCTGTCATGTGCCCCAGAAGACACTGGACCATTCACAAAGCGCAGCGCTTCTCGCGCATGCACAGTGGGCACCCGGCTGTCACAGATGCCGGGGGGGGGGAGGAAGCCGGCGCGGGAAGACTACAGCGCTGGACCGAGGAACTGGTGAGTTCCTCCCGCAGAGAACAGCTGAGCGGCCGGCCCGGTATTCTGACATGGTGGCAGCAGAAATACTGGACCGGCCGCTTTATATTCGCTCCATAAGACGCACTGACATTTTCCCCCCTTTTTTTGGGGAAAAAAGTGCGTCTTATGGAGCGAAAAATACGGTACTTAATTTACATTCATGTTCAAATTTTAAAATATGTACATAAAAAAATTAAAATGATAAATGAAATCAAGTATTTAAATCAAAATACAGTGTTTCTATGTTAAATGTATTTAGCAAAATATATAAATCAAAGCTTTTCTGGCTGGCTGATTGATATTAACCTCCCTGGCGGTATGATTATTTCAGATTTTTGGTGCTGAAAGCGGTACCATTTTTTTTGCATGGAAATATGTATTTTTTTTATTGTAGGCTGTAATTTTTAGGAGGAAAAACTCACTGAAATCTGTCCGAACAAGAGTCTAGTAAACATCCCGGGTATGATAAAATTTGAAACACAAAATCATAAATTATAATTTAATAAATAATCATAAAAATAATATAAAAATATTAAAAAATTTAATTCAATAATATAATCAAACCAAAAACACTGAAATGTGAGATAGAGCGCCAAGTTCGCACATTGCTGAGCTCAGTCGCAAAATCGTTTTCAGTTTCTGATGACGAATTTCCCCCATGAATCATTATCACTCAATTCTGCAAGTGGTTCTGATTTACTATCGCTGTTCTCTAGCTGGGCTAAACCGCTTTTGACCTAAAGGGACACTTTTTGGACGCCATGGACATTTCTCAGTTTCCAGGCAGAAAGAACAGACAAAATGCAGGCAGGGCACAGGACAAAGCACTAGGGACAATATGTATGTGAAATAGGTTGAAACAGCAATGTTTTACTGTGTAAAATGAAAAAAAAAAAAAATGACATTTTTTAAAATTTTTAAATTTCCCGCCGCCGCTGGCGGCGGCGCCCGTACGTCCCGACGTCACAGGGACAGGACACAGAAGCCGGATGCCGGCATCGGCCGGAGGAGACGGCCGGGGACGCTGCAGGGGACACATCGTGGGAGCGCAGGGTAAGGTAAGTGAAGAACACATGCCAGAGCAGCGCCGCATGGTAAGCCCGAGTGTAGCTCGGGGTTACCGCTTTTGGTACTGAAATGTTACCCCGAGCTACACTCGGGAATACCGCCAGGGAGGTTAATAAGATATTGTATATCATTATAAATAACAAATAGGTATAATGATTTAGTAATCTAGTGTTCTAATCAGCCTATTTGTTCTCTAACACTTTAGAAACAGAAAGCAAATATTTGGTTTCAATAATTTAACATTTTTTAATTGGTTTCACAATTTAAAAGTGAATGTAAAAGCATATTTAAAAAAAAAAAAAATAACAAACATATTATACTTACCTGCTCTGTGCAGTTGTTTTGAAAAGAACAGTACCAATCCTCATCTTCTCAGGTCTCCTGCTGGTGTTCCTGTCTCTTCCCTTCTGTCTAGTGCCTCCACAGAAAGCAGCTTGCTATGGGGGTACCCAAGCAGGCTTGATCTCAAGCTGCTGCTCTGTGTGTCTATTCATACACAGCCACAGCTAGACCCTGCCCCTACTATCTCTTCATTGGCTCACTAGCAATGATTGACAGTACCGGAAGCAAATGGCTGTTTCAGCCAATGAGGAGACAGAGACCTGGGACAGCCAATGCTCTCATGCACATAATTGGATTGAGAGGGAGCTCAGATAAGGGGGTGGTTGGGGGGACATAGAATGCATGAAGGTAATTAGCCTTGAGCCTTTACAACCACTTTAATCCTTTTTTAGCACAGTGGTCTCCAAACTGCATAACACTTACTCGCGTTAATCATAGGCACTAGGCCATTTTTGTCTTCCTTGGGGCATTTTTTATTTCCATTGACCAAAAAGTCTGGGACTTCATGGGAGAGAGGGACTTTTCTATTCCCACTGGCCTGTGTTTGCCCTCTCACCCAGAGTTAAAGAACAGTGAACTGGCCCTTTATTTGTTTCAGGGCCCCTGTTCTAGCTCTTATATTGATTGTATTTACTGCAAGGCATCAAAATTGTTTACTATAAAGCATCAGTTCCATTTATAGATTTTTTTATTTTATTTATGTATTTTTTAACAGCCTTTGAGCACTGGATAATTCTCTGTACATTTTCAACAGCTTTTACCAGCTGTAAGGGGTGTATTTGTTTAAAAAATGTATAGCAATTTTCCCAGTTAAAGTTTATGTACATTCCTTCACTGTGAAAGGTGCTTTTCATTGAGTTTAAATAGTAAATACCACATTTGGCCATTGAAATGTCCAATGATACATAGTACCATCTAGTGACCTATTGATATATTTTCCATTTTCATACAAATAAAGAACATGCATACAGCACATGAAATACCATAGTTATTTTTGTTCAGATGGAATGATTGCATCCAAAATATATATATATATATATATATATATATATATATATATATATAATAAACATATATAGAATACATTTTTTTTAATCTGATCTAATCTATGACTAGATCATAGTGCATAGAGTGCTAGGAAATTTTAATTTGTAATGTTTATTTAATAATTTATACAGCATCATCATCCTATGTAGCACTATATACAGTATGTAAGTGCTATAAACAAGTAATGTGGAGAATACAAATGCATACAATGTAAGGAAAAATACATACAGTTGTCAAGCACAATCATATACAGTAATACGACAGATACTATAGCTGATAAAATACTTACTGCATGATCTTAAAGTCTTGAAAGATAAATGACAGAAAAGGACTGACAATAAATAAAAGGGCTCTGATATGCTTTAAAAACATGGTGTGCATTCAATCTTGTTTAAAATCTTTGCCTATACATGGTTTAAGACAATGTATGAATTCACTAAAGATAAGCATCAATCTAAATGGCCAGAAAGTACTATTTCTGAGGTTAAAGCCTGTAGTCCCACAGGAACAGACAAGCAGGGATATTGTAATTAAATAAAATCATTCTTGCAATCTTTTAATGTCATCTTAATGTTGGATCATTTCTTTCTAATTAATGTAATTTTTCTAGGCTAAAAAATGTGTGATTGCAATAAGTGTAAAATTAAATATCAACATTCCATATTTAATTTTGTCTAACCCGTGCTATTATTCCACCTAAAAATTAATTTATGCAATCTGAGGAGTAATGTATTTAAAGCTATATTACAATTTAAAAAAGTAACACATTTGTTATATAGTAGACATATATTTAAAAAATAGGCCTTATTCATGAATGAACATAAACATGAAATGCATCAAGAAGGCCAACTACTTCACAAACTGAGCACATGTGAATCATGATCCTTTGACTATCTTACAAGCTACTGATATTTCCTGGATAAATGTGACAGCATGTACACTGTCAACAAATACAAGGGACCTGGTGGGTGTTACCCTGTGCATAATTATGTTTCATTGTCACTTTATACCTTGGGTATTTTGTGTACATATGTCCTTAAGGACTGGCTGAGTACTTGACTTTTCCACAATTCTACATCCTACAATCATAGAAATAAATACAGTTAAACAATGAGGGCATATATGGGAATTTCAGGTAAAAGAGACATTCTCCCCAAATTCTCCCCAAATTGGGGTAAGATTACAGTGGGAGTGGGACTCTGTTGCCCTCTCTTGTATATAATGAAGCAAAAGATGTCATGCAACCCACAAACCTGCACTTTAAAATAAATAAATCCCAAAACATAAAGTCCAAAGTAGAAAGATCGTCCACCAAATTATCCACGTGTACCACCAAATTATCATTGTGTCCCAATATCTCCGTGCACTAATATCTTCTATGATTGATCATCAGTGCTACTCATGCATACACCTCCCATGTACTGTATGCTCACCTCCAGACTAGACCCTGATAACTAGTCAAGGGTTACATGCACTTTTGCCACCTTCACAGGCTTCCTGGTTCACTTCACCACAGATGGCTCCCACTGTTCCATGGATCCTTCACTCACATAAGAATCATTATTTAATTGTTGAAAGAAGAATAGAGACTGATAGTGCTGTCTGTACAATAAAAACATGTATTCAATATTTAAAATGGTTTTCATATTTTTATAAAAAAAAAAGATTGGGGGATTATGCTTAATGATTCATATGTATATGGAGAGCATATGATATGATTATTTACAGATACTACTGTTTTTTCAGACTGTTTATTATAAAGAAATATTTATGTTTGTTCACTTATCCTGAAGAAGTGATTTCTGTGAAGTGATGCTTAGTGCTAAATGTTAATTAAATAATATCTAAAATTTCAAATGAGGTGTTTTAAAGACTAGAATATGGTTTTTAAATAAGTAATAAAATGTGTTTTTAAATTATACATTGGATTTCTTCTTTGATGTACATTAAAAGCCCCACTCTGTAATCTTACCACAATTTGGGGTGAGTGTCTCTTTTACATGACATTACAAAGGGATGATACCCATAGAAG